ACTCCCGAGGCAGTACGACAACATCAGTCTCGTCTGTTGAGGGTATTATTGTAAATATCTCTACTCTGTCCAAAAAGTCATGGAAATACTGAAATTGTGTGATGTTAAAGGGATAGTTCACACAAAACTGAAAATTCTGTTAAACACAAAAGAAGATATTTTGAAAAATGTTAAAACCATTGATCACAGTATTGGTTTTTCGTACTATTGAAGTCAATGGTCACAGGGTTGTAACATTTTTCTAAACATCTACTTTTATTTTTAACAGGAAAAAACCGGGGAGAGTAAATGGTGAGTAAATTTTCATTTATGCATGAACTACCCCTTTAAGCTTCACTGCTAATGTCAAATAACACCGACTGTAACCTCAGCTGACAATGTTGCAGTTGTAGTTTGTGTTTCCATCGTGTCGACGGAGCAACTCCACCTTTAGTTCTTTAGCAAAAACATTTCAGATTATTTGATTTAGTACTATTGGGAGACATCCACTGTTATTATGTTATTTACCGTCCATACTAATCCGCAGCGGGCATGTAGAATGTAGGGCTCAGAGCTGTTATTAAGTATGCTTAGTTCTGACATTCCTCTCCAAATCCCTGTACTTCTGGATGAGTCTCTGTCGAATTTCCAGCTCTTTTTCTAAAAAAAAAAAAAAAGACTGTCAGGGGCTTGTCTGCATTTATCGTCACCCGTATGTTTCCTCAGAGAAGTCATTCAGCAGATTTCTCTCTATTTAACAGCCAGAAGCTTGAGTAAATGTGACGGGTGACCCAGTAATTCATATCCTCACACACACACATGTATAGATGCATGTCATTTAAATCACTGCACTGTAACAGGTGGGTTGAAGACAGTTGTGGATTGGGAATGAGTCCGATTTATGCTTGTAAATCAGAGTAAAGCCTCTCTATAAAGCCTTCCTCCTCAACTGGTGCTTCATACTGTAGTTTCCAGACGAAAAAAAAAAGTGTGTTCGCATTGCTGAACACAACAAACAAAATCAGTCGAGGTCAGCTAGTTCAAGTAGATCTAATAAAACAGGAAGTGTGTCAATGTCCCTGCCAGTAAGTGGACTTTTCAACTTAGTAGTCTTAGAATTTGTTTAATAAGTGCATGAAAAGTGCACAGGCAAATTATCTTTGGAAAAATTGTCCTTGGAGTAAAATCAGATCTTATTTTTGATGTCTGTTTTTATACTGTTGTTTTAATGTTTTATTGTGCTTCGATCGTTTTGACCAAACCTCAAACCTGTTTTGTAATGATAAGATTATTTTCCATCACAACAAAAGAACTAAAATTATTATTTTATTAATAGTAATAATTATTATTATATTGGACGAGGCAGTGGCACTGTAGGTAGTGCTGTTTTTGTTTATTATAAATCTTAAGAAAATATCTTTGGGACATCAAAAATGGAGAATACAACAAGCTAATCCAGCTAAAAAATAATGCCTAACATGCCACTTATTGAAGTATTTCAACACCATAAGAAAATAGAAAATGAGGTGAATAACTCCACATTTTGAGAAAAAAGAACCACCCCTTTCACCAGGCTGGCTAAAGGATACGAGTTCAGTTGTACAAAAATGTAAGATTTGTAAAAGGAGGCATGGCACCAAATCTCACCCCTAAAACCAACTGTCATTGGGGGATGAGCAAATGCTACTAAAAAGTACTGACATTGTACAAATTCCTATGGATTCGCCACTAAATTAAGAAGTTACAAATTGAGATATTGTCACATTGCCATCAGTCAGCCATTTTAAAGGCAGAGAAGGTAAACATTAAAATGAATGAAACTCAAATGTTTTGCTTATTAGTGCTGCTGAAAATTATCGGTCACAGTTTATTTTGATGATCTGTTTGTTGAATTGAAGTTACAATACATCTACATGCCAACTAATTCTCATTAAATTATAAGTCTAAATCCCTAAATGATTTGAGCATTGACATTAATTCAAAATGTTTCCTGCAAATCAGACTATTATAAATAAGGTGAGGTGTATTTCTGACCAAATAATTACAGCTGAGTATATAAAAGAAACACTTTTTAAAACTTTTTTAAAATGTTACATCTTCAAAAATTTAAGAGAGGTTTATGTGGAAAAGAAAAAAGGTCAGAATATCCAAAAGTCAGTGTCTGTCAAGGTATGGGGTTGTGTCTCTGCCCTTGGTGAAGGTAACTTGCACTTCTGTGATCACCATTAATGCTGAAAAGTATATAGATTTTAAAGCACAATATACTGCCTTCTTTTCCAGGGACAGCAGTCCTGGCTGTGAAGTCCTGACTGTGAAGCTTTCACACGACGTGACATTGCATGCAGTGGTTAAAAACAAATCTAGCAGGTTTTATACACACACACACATATATATATATATAGTTGAAGTCAGAATTAATAGCCCCCCTGAATTATTAAACTGCTTTTTTTATTTTTTCCCCAATTTCTGTTTAACTGAGTGAAGATTTTTTTCAACACATTTCTAAAGATAATTGTTTTAATAACTCATTTCTAATAATGGATTTATTTTATCTTTACCATGATGACAGTAAATAATAAAGTGACATTTAAAGCCTTAACTATGTCCATTAGGTTAACTTGGCAGGTTAGGGTAATTATGCAAGTTATTGTATAATTATAATTTCTTCTGTAGATTATCAAGTAAAAATATAGCTTAAAGGGGCCAGTAATTTTGTCCCTAAAATGGTGTTTAAAAAATTTAAAACTGCTTTTATTCTAGCCAAAATAAAACAAATAAGACTTTTTCTAGAAGAAAAAATATTATCAGACATACTGTGAAAATTTCCTTGCTCTGTTAAACATCATTTAAAAAATATTTAAAAAAGAAAAAAAAGGGTGCTAATAATTCTGACTCTAACTGTGTGTGTGTATATATATATATATATATATGTAGTAAATAGTGTTCAGTTTCCTTTGCTTCATAAAATCTAAAGGTTTATGTGTCATCAGCGGTCTTGGATATTATTTTTTTTTTGCCTGTAAATGTTTTTGTTTTTTTGTTTTTTTTTAACCAAAGTGCAGTAGCCAATTGAGCATAGCTAATCAGTGGCCACTTTTTGAGATAAAAAAATAAAACTAATGTTCTTCTAAAGAAACAAAAACAGTCATAAAAAATTATGAATATGGCATAGATGAGTAAATTAACACCATACTCTATTAACCTTATCATGAATTGATCATTTTCACCAATAAAGGGCGCTGTGAGCTGCACTGGTTACTCATTCGGCGTAGCTACAAAGAACTGAAACTGGAAAAGCTGAGCCTTACTATCCTCAGTTATCAAAACAGTATACTGGTTTCTTTTTAGGTTATGCAAATTTTATAGAACCTTCTGTTATTTATTAGAAATATTTATGTTGATTAACACACTGCCCATAAAACAGTCACCACCCAAGTTAATTTAATTATCTGCCATTAGATAATTAATGCATGGATGAGTATGTTTCAGCTGGTAAAAAGTAATTCAACCCTAAATCACCCCCATTCCCCACATCAGTTATTGGCTTCCAAATTGATCAAAAGTATTAGCCAAAATGTCCATATCAGTGCAAGATGAGTGATAGTCACAATCATTAAATTTCGGCAAACTTTCTTCAGTTATCCATCCTCTTACTTTCATGGTTTTGGGAAAGGAGCAAGGACTCAAATGCAGGGACAAATGCATGGATTTATTATAAAATAAAACAAAAACTACCCGAGGGGGAAAACATTGACAAAACAAATAAACAAACTTGACTTGGTAGGTTGGCACGGATCAGGGCTGGACAAGACAGGACAGGACTGGAATGAACTAGACAGGACAGGACTAGACTAGACTAGACTAGACTAGACTAGACTAGACACAACAAGATAATAAACGACAACGAACTGGCACAGGACAGCAGACATGAGAAGACTATAAAAAAGAAATAATTAAAAAACAAACTGAATGAACTAATAATGGGTTAACAAGGAAGGTGGGACTAAACAATAGACAGAAAAGCATGTGACACAAAGAAAAAGTGCAAGCTATGTGGTCACGTTAAACAGGACTAGAACATACAGTCAATTTGACGCAGGCACGCAAAGCGCTCACACAAAGACGAAAACAGACAATGACAGAAAATGAGTGCTCGATGCGAGAAAACTCGAGTTGAGCACAATATACAAGACATGATGGGACTAGTGTCTGGACTCTGCCACCAAAATAAGAATTAAAAAGACTGAAGGGCAGAATCCTGACACTAAGACTCTGTCCATCACATTTTAACATAGTCATTATCTGTGTCCATATTTATTCATCCTGCAGTTCAAATTTTTTTTATTTAAAAATTATAGCACTCAATCATGATAATACTGAGGAACATGGTTAAATCTGTCCTTCATGAGGACATTTTTATTGAAAAACTCTGACAGCCAAACAGGCAAATAGAGTTAAAAGTTGTGTGTGTTTGTTTAGAGAGCTGAAGTAATGATCTGGGATTTTATGCTAACGGAATCAATTTTAATGTGTTTGCAGTGAAGAAAAGCCGTAAGTCGCTTTGCATTATTGACCTGGAATAATGAAACACAAAACCGCTGCCACAAGAAACATTCCTCCGCCGTGTCTGTCTGAGCTCCAGTGAGTTTATGTCCAAAAACGTCTTTTCTGTGAACAAAACAGCAAGAGCTTTGAATGTGCTTCTCCTCAAGGCCTGATGTCTTGATATTCTCCTTTTCTCGATCGTTTGACGAGGTGAAGATCGTGTGACCTCCAGAAGGTGTGCAGGTCATAGAAAAACACACACACACCATCTGGACACAGGTGACATACACCCTCATTACTACAAAATTACACACCACAAGACACAGTCAAGTATGCAAAGGGAAGGCTGCTGTGTGCCGCATTGCAGAATAGGCCTGTTTTACATTTGTTTTTCTTTTCTGGTGGGTTTTAGAGAGAGAGAGAGAGTTTTCCCCTCTAATTCTCTGATTTAGTTCTAGTTAGGTCGGAATAAGCCTCTCTGAGTGCTAGAAAGAAAGATAGAGAGACTGTGTCTGTCCATCAGAAAGTGATTGTAATTCTAAGCATTTTACAGCTTCTCTCACAGAGAGATTTCTTGGAAGGAATTCGTGCTGCTTATGAAAGAACAAAAAATGGGGTGAGTGGAAAGAGAAAAGAGAAAGTGTAAAAAGGAGGAGAGAGAGAGAGAGAGAGGAGAGGAGGGAAATTTGTGCCAGTGTATATGACTCGCTGTCTGGGGGTGAGAGAGAAACACACACACACACACACACACACACTTAAAAACAGAGAGAGAAAACCCCCTTTTGCTAAAACATTCTCTCACACAAACACACATCTCTATTCAGAGACAGCTCTACTGCAGTGTTTCTCACTGACACACACACACACACACATATCCTATTAACTGCTTTATTCTGCTCATGGCTTGTGATAGCGGACACCGGTGGAGACTCATCCTGCATTTCCTCCAGATGACCCTCCTGCTCTTCTTCCTCTGCCCACCCACAGAGCCTGCTCCCTGGGACAGCGACTCCAGCAGCGGCCCTGGAGAGGTAAGAAGCGCAGACAAATGACAAATGATACCAGTGGCAGGACTACACAGAACGCATGCAAATGTCTGTACAGGCAAACCCCAGTTACCCAGAACAATGTTTCATAGTATGTTGGAGAATATCATTATGAATTAATGTGGTATACTTTTAAAACTAATATTATTTTTTTTATAGTTTATAATTTATATATGTTTAATTTAGTATTATGTTCATATAAAGTTAATTTATTTCTGTTTTGTTCAGCTCATAAAGATTCTTTTCACTATCAAAGTATATACAGTACTGAATATATGGTCACACTTCACAATAAGGTTTCATTAGTTTAAGTATTTACTAACATGGACTAATTATGAACAACACTAATAGAACATTTATTAATCATAGTTAACAAATTATTAATCATGAGTTGACATGAACTAACAATGAGCAACGGTATTTTATTATCTAATGTTAATTGACATGAACAAATAATGTAATTATTGTTCATCGTTTATTGATGTTAAATACATTAACTAATATTAACTAATACAACCTTATTGTAAAGTGTTACCATATAAGATCCTTAAAATGTTGAAATATGAATATGTGACTTTTACTTACTTTACTTGGCTTTTACCTAAAATGTTAGTAATGCACTGACATAATGCAACACTTTAATGTCAATCTGCAATATTATATTATATTATATTATATTATATTATATTATATTATATTATATTATATTATATTATATTATATTATATTATATTATATTATATTATATTATATTATATTTAATTATTATATTATATTATATTATATTATATTATATTATATTATATTATATTATATTATATTATATTATATTATATTATATTTAATTAATTTAAATGGTATTATATTATATTATATTAAATTTAATTAATTTATATTATATTATATTATATTATTTTGTATCATATTTACTGTGTAGTTACACTAAAAAACATATATTTTGAGTTATTGAACTATTAAACTATTATTGGAATATGATTCAAAGTGTTTTTATTATTCATTCATTCATTTGTTTATTTCATTCATTCATTTTCTTTTCAGCTTAGTCCCTTTATTAATCTGGGGTCGCCACAATGGAATGAACCACCAATTCATCCATATGTTTTACGCAGCAGATGCCCTTCCAGCTGCAACCCATCTCTGGGAAACATCCATACACTCTCATTCACACTCATACACTACGAACAATTTAGCCTACCTAATTCACCTGTACCCCAAGTCTTTGAACTGTGAGGGAAACCGGAGCACCCGTAGGAAACCCACATGAATGCGGGGAGAACATGCAAACTCCACACAGAAATCCCAACTGACCCAGCCAAGGCAGCGACCTTCTTGCTGTGAGGCGACATCATAACCTACTGCTTCACTGCGTTGCTTTGTTATTCAATATGTGTTCATTATTTACTAGTAATTTTATTAGTGAAATCTGTTTCTACATCAAATTCTTAGTGTACATTAAGAATTGATACAAATAGTTACCATAACCATATACATTTCCTGATGTTTTATATAAAATATATATTAAAATTACGTTGAAATCTACATATACAGTACAGTATGTGCTGTATAAACATACAATATTGTAAATATATATTTTCTGTAAAATGAAAATATGAATTAAATCTGTAGTCTTAACTCCATATAAAGTAAAGTATTATAGTGCAGTTTCACAAAAAGCAAGCATGTAAAACAATAAAACAATATATAGAATAGAATATCAGAAAATATTATTATTGTTATTATAAATTCTTACATATCGAGTCATCATTGTGAGTGTTATGTGAGTAGCGTTATTACTCATATACAACTGAGTCTAGTTAACACTATGGAGGCATCGATGGCCCTTGAAAAGACCAACTGGAGGATAAAGCATTGCAAAACTGCACAGTCTGGATTATTGGGGGCGCTGGGGTCAACTTTTGCCTACAATGTGGGGACCAAAAACATCCCTACAGGAGCCGTAAAACCCAAAATCACCTAGAATTGTGGGGATCAGCCAAAGGCCTCCACCAGAAAAAATGCCTTAATAAACATACTAAATAATGTATTGATAACACTGTAAAAAAATTCCAAAAGGTTTATGAGAGGGTTGGGATAGAAAACACCATGAACTCAAAATAAAAACAAAGAAGTCACTGGAAAGTCCCCAGCATGATAGAAAAACATACCTGTATATGTGTGTGTGTGTGTGTGTGTGTGTGTGTGTGTGTGCGTGTGTGTGTGTGTGTGTGTGTGTGTGTGTGTGTGTGTGTGTGTGTGTGTGTGTGTGTGTGTGTGTGTGTGTGTGTGTGTGTGTGCATGTGCGTGTGTGCGTGTGCGTGCTGTTGAGCATGAGGACACAAAATGGTAAAATAACATAAGCGTGATGTAAATACTATCATGTTTTTATAATGTAAAAACATTCTAATTCTGAATTCTAATAATGAAAATGTCATAATAATTTGTGTTTTTTGAAATTCAAATACCATTAAGAGGTTTTCGACGACACGGTGGCTCAGTGGTTAGCACAGTTACCTCACAGCAAGAAGGTCGCTGGTTCGAGTCCCAACTGGGTCAGTTGACATTTCTGTGTGAAGTTTGCATGTTCTTCCCGTGTTCGCGTGGGTTTCCTCTGGGTGCTCCTGTTCCCCCCACAGTCCAAAGACATGTGGCAAATGTGAACTGAATAAACTAAATTGGCCGCAGTGTATGTGTGTACAGTAGATAAGTGGGTATGGATGTGTCTCAGCACTGGGTTGCAGCTGGAAGGGCATCCGCTGTGTAAAACATATGCTGGATATGTTGGTGGTTCATTCCGCTGTGGTGACCCCTGATGAACAAAGAGACTAAGCCAAAGGAAAATGAAATGAATGAATCACAAGGTTTTCAGGTCTGTTAAGGGTTAGGGTTTGATTTTAATGGAATAGGGCTACAGTTTTGTACAAAATATACACAATATAAATGTGTGTGTGTGGTTGGTGGAAGAAATTTTTTTTCCAGCCAGGATTTTGTTAAATCAAGTCTTTCTTATTGTAAGTTTGACAAATTAAGATGATGAGTGTTTGTGGGCACCAAATGCTCCTATAAATATAGTAAAAAATTTTTTTTTTCTACCTCGTGAGGACTTTATTTTCTTCCATAAGGAAAATGTCTAATAAATCATATGGAACGAGGTATTCTGCTAGTGAAAACTGCTGTTCTTGTAGACTTCTTTAAAGCTAACAATAGAGACAGTAGTGAAACATGATTTTGATGGCTTTTAGTGTACGTTTGAATCGTGTAACAATATGGCCGCTGTCTGTCTATATATATGTGTGTGTGTGTGTGTGTGTGTGTGTGTGTGTGTGTGTGTGTGTGTGTGTGTGTGTGTGTGTGTGTGTGTGTGTGTGTGTGTGTGTGTGTGTGTGTGTGTGTGTGTGTGTGTTTCTCATTACACTTTAAAAGCAACTGATGATGCTTTGAATGAAAATGTTTTAAGGAAACGGCTTAAAATGAATTATTTTAGAAACAGTAAATCTTAAAAACAAACAGTCTCATCCCTCAGTAATCAGTGTTATTTTTAGTCTTGATCCTTATTCAAAAAGCAGTTGGAGTGAATTGTATCATTGCTATTTACTTGTTCATGTACTGATTCATGCTGATTCATTTAAAAATGTAAGTGAAAATGAATCAGCACATGTACGCTTGTGTGATTGCAATCTGGTTTACATATAAATTCTACTGGATTGAACGCATTTTAAAATACAGACATACACACAACTCGGTGTGATTCAAAATGTGGCTGTGTTTTGAGGAAAAAGACATCAGTAGCCTATTGAAGAGCTACATTTGTTTACTCTTTTTGATGAACTCTTGCCAGATAAGACAGGCAGTGCTGATTAATTTTCTGAAATCGGATCATCTTAGCTGTTCAATTTTGATTTTAATCTTTTTATTAATAAGATCTCAGGCAAACACTTCTGCTCAGAGGGTCTCCCATCTGAAGTGGTGAAATCTGTGTCTTCATCTGTGTGCTACAAGAACCTGAATGTGCTCTGCTGTGTGTGTGTATGTGTGATTGTGTATTGGTTAATGTGGTGTACGAGGACACAACATTGCCCAATAGGTATGACCTGGTTATATTCTATTAGTGTGGTTTATGATAACACAACATTGTCCAATAGGTTTGATCTTGTTAAACTCTAATAATGTGGTTTACGAGGACATAACATTGTCCAATAAGTATGGCCTTTTTGTATTCTATTAATGTGGTTTACGAGGACATACCATTGTCCAATAAGTATGGCTTTTTTGTATTCTATTAATGTGGTTTACGAGGAAACAACATTGTTCAATAGGGATGACCTAGTTGTATTCTATTAATGTTGTTTATGAGGAAACAACATTGTCAAATAGGTATAACCTTGTTGTATTCTATTAATGTGGTTTATGAGAACACAACATTGTCGAATAGGTATGACTTTGTATTCTATTAATGTGATTTACAAGGACACAAGATTGTACAATAGGTTTGACCTAGTTGAACTCTATTAATGTGGTTTACGAGGAAACGAGATTGTCCAATAAGTATGACCTTGTTAAACTTTATTAATGTGGTTTATGAGGACATAACATTGTCCAATAGATATGACGTAGTTTAAATCTATTATTGTGGTTTATGAGGACATAACATTGTCTAATTGGTATGACCTAGTTTAACTCTATTGATGTGGTTTACAAAGACACAACTTTGTTCACTAGGTTTGACCTAGTTGAACTCTAATAATGTGGTTTATGAGGGCACAACTTTGTCCAATAGGTATGACCTTGTTGTATTCTATACATTTGGTTTACGAGGACACAACATTGTCCAATAGGTTTGACCTAGTTTAACTCTATTAATGTGGTTTTTGAGGACACAACATTGTCCAATAGGTATGACCTTGTTGTATACTATTAATGTGGTTTACAAGGACATGTCTTGTGTTTTAATTATTCAAAATGGTTAGAAATCATAATTTATTGGTTCGTTGACATTCAAAATTTGCCACAGCTTTCATATGAGGGTGGGGTTTAGGGGTAGGATTACTGTCTGTAAGGTAATGTAATAAGCCTTTTTACAGTATAAAATACATTATGCCTATGGTGCATCCTTGTAAACCATGTGTACTGTATATGTGTGAGTGCGGGCATGTGTGTGTGAGCAAATGTTTTTGCATGATCCTTGTATGATCAAAATGTGTTTGCATGATCCTTGTATTTATCACATTGTGTGTGTGTGTGTGTGTGTGTGTGTGTGTGTGTGTGTGTGTGTGTGTGCGTGTGCGTGTGCGCGTGTGCGTGTGTGGGTGCGTGCGCGTGTTTGTGTGTGTGTGAATTTGCAAATGCGTTTGCATGGTCCTTGTATTCATTCTATTTTGGTGACCAGATACCATACCTTATTAGTACTTTTTTTCCCACGAGGAGAACGGCTCAAAAGTCACAAAGAATTAAGTATTTTGACAATGTAAAATGGCAGAATGGTTTATCTGAGTGTTGGGTTTATAGGTATGGTTGGAGTAAGGGAACACAATATATAGTCTGTACAGTAAAACAATTACTGTTTGTCTCTAAAGATTCCCTATAAAACATGAATGCTCAAAATGTGTGTCTGTGTGTTTGTGTGTTTGTATGTGTATCTGCAGGGCTGTGAGGGTTTCCAGGTGGATGTGTGTGGTGTGTGTGCTGGAGACGGGAGCTCGTGTGAACTGTTCAATGGGACAATCTTTCTCTCTGTGCTCTCGGTTAGATACCACAAGATCCTGAATATCCCCTCTGGAGCTCTGCGAATAAAAATACAGGAAACACACAAGACCAGGAACTATTTGGGTAATGGAACTGAATTCCTGCTAGCTCTTCTTTTTTTAATTTTACTTTACATCAGGCTAATTGCAATGGAATGTTCCTCCAATAGTGTACAATTTAGTGGTCTATTTAGTGTTCAAGACTTAAGACATCTAATTATTTTTTTTCTAAATAGATGTTTTTAGACTTCAAGTGAAGAATCAATTACTCTTCAGTTGATGAGTTTTTTCATCACTATTTTTTTTTTTAAGATTTATTTTTGGCCTTTGTTTTTTTTTTTTTTAGAAAGGACAGTTTCGAGACAGGAATCGAAGTGGGAGAGAGAGAGAGGGGGTAGGGTAGGGAAATGTCTTCGAGCCGGGATTCAAACTCGCGATGCCCTGACATGCTATGCTATTGCACCAAATGTCAGCACGCTAACCACTAAGTTATAGCGCCAACAAGTTTTTTCGTCACTATTTGACATTTTTTCACAAAAAATCTAGCAAAATGCATGCACATCAATCTTAATTGGGTGCTCAACCAAACAAAAAGTATGGGTTTTGGGTTTAAATTATATTTTAAAAAGTATACAATTTATACATTTGGAATACTTTGTGTTTATTAGAAAACGTTTAAACAATTACAACCATCAGATTTTAAAATGTATCTATTGACCCAAATATGTCCCAGTCAATGATAGCAGCAAAATTCTCTTAAAATTTTACTTAAAAACAGCTCTTATTTAACTTGACATTTTGAATTTAAAGCACCTCTCTCTATCTTCATTTAAAGTAATAATGTATTCTTCAAATAGCTCTAACTCAAGGTGACAGATGGCTTTACTTTGTTGCTAAATATAGTCCACATTTTGATCTTGTAGAGCACTTTAAAAAAACAACTTCCACATTCCTGCGGCCTGGCCTTTCCAGTAGGGTAATATGTGGTATGGAGCCACCAGGTGTCCTCCTTCCATCCATCATCATTTTCCCTCTCTTTTTCTTCAAGCTCTCAGCATGGCAACTGGTGAATCGGTGATAAATGGTGACTGGGTGATCGACAGGCCAGGACAGTTTTACGCCGCAGGCACTCAGTTCACATACAAGCGGCCCAATGAGATACGCAGCAGAGCAGGAGAATCCATCACTGCACCTGGACCCACCAATCAGGAGCTGAATCTCTTTGTAAGGGACCACTCCTACTGTATGACATCACAGCAGTAGGACAGCAGTCACTTAATTGGCACTAGTGAACAAAAAAAACATGTCGAAACTGATAGATTTTCGACAGGTGTTTTGTTCGTATTTTATTAATGCATTTCATTGTTTTGTGATTATTGGTTAAAAGTGAACTTAATGGATAGAAATAGCATTCTTACAGTATGTTTTCAATGGAAAAAAAACATGAAATTGATAGATTTAGAAATCATTAAGTACTTGTTTTTATAAGAACAAGCACTTCTTATTAAGTTAATATGGTCTGTGTGTATGGCCAGCCGATTTGAATGTTATCACTCAATTGACAGGGCGTTATCAGCTGATAGATATGTGCCAGTAGGCTGCTATCATCTATCCACATGGTTAATCAGCTATATATTACATATGACTGCAAAATTATTTGTGTTATTTATTAAATTTCCAGTTAATTGTATTTTATTAGCGTCTACCCCTACCCCAACCCTAAACCCAACCATTAAAGTAATGTAAAAACAGATCTGAATCTGGAGTCTTCTCTATTAGTATAACTGATTAACCATGTGAATGAGTGATAACAGCCTTCTGAGCCTACCAGTAGGCGCAGAAGGCCCCTACTGGCCCATATCTATCAACTGATAACCACTGATAATGGCCATTTAACATTCGAAGCGAGTGGTATGGCAGTGGATTGTTATTATTTAACTTATTAATTTTTTTTTTTTCCAGGTGATTTACCAACAGCCTGATGCAGCAGTGTATTATGAATATATTCTACCCAAACACACCAACACTCATTCAGATGCATATTCTTACTCTAGCGTACTTCCTCTAGGTTAGTATTTCACTAATATATACAAATACATGTATAGTATTGTTAAAATGTTTAGGCTCATAATAATGTCTACATTCTTTAATATTTTTTAAAGAAATATGCACTCTTATTCATGAAGAAAATACATAATTGATAAAAATTTTCATTCAAATAAAAGCATAAATCATAATAATGATGATAATAGGATGGCATAGTAGTGGCACAGTAGGTAGTGCTGTTGCCTCACAGCAAGAAGGTTGCTGGTTTGAACAGTTGGCTCAGTTGGCGTTTCTGTGTGCGGCTGGAAGGGCATCCGCTACATAAAAAAAAACGTGCTGGATAAGCTGGGCGGTTCATTCCGCTGTGGCGACCCCGGATTAATAAAGGGAATAAGCCGACAAGAAAATGAATGAATGAATGAATGAATGAATGAATGAATGAATGAATGAATGAATGAATGAATGAATGAATGAATTAAGAATGGCATGGTAGCTCAGTGGTTAGCACTGTTGCCTCACAGCAAGAAGATTGCTGGTTCAGGTCCCAACTGGGCCAGTTGGCATTTCTGTGTGTTTGCATTGTCTTGCAAAACATGCGCTATAAGTGAAGTATATTAATCAATAGGCTGTTCAGTCCATTGTGGTGACCTCTGAAATAGAGACTAAGCCAAAGAAAAATGAATGAATGAATGAATATTAATTTATAATATTATAAATTCTAAAACTTGTGAAATGTTTTATTCAAACAGACATCTAAATAAACAGACTCTCACAAAATTATTGTAAAAAATATGATAGTGAATTACAGTACTAGTAAATTATCAGGATACTTGTTAATGTACAAAAATTGTATTTGTTATGATTATAAATCAATCTGACTGTTTCAGTGTTGTTTAGGTGACTTGTACCTAATTAAATGACTAAAATAATAAATTTTATTTAAAAAAAGGAAAAGGAAAAGAAATACATGCAAGAATAAACTTTTTAATATAACAGTATATTCAGTACATTTAGAAATATACCATAAATTACAGTTACAGATACTTGACTAAAACTGACAGAAAAGTATATTAGGCTAAGCACAATAAATACTTGTCACATGCCATCTTAAAAGCAAGTTTGTCAACTTTTTGGTAGATTAGCTTACAGCAAAAAATAAAATAAAGCATAATGTTCAATAAAAAAAGTTCAATAAAAAAATAATAATATTTAGAAAGTTTTTAATTTTACAGATTAATAATATTGCCTTTAATTGTACATGCATCAAAGATCTACTAAATCTACTAAAAATGGCTAAAATCTTAATTAACTGTTCCTTTCTATTTTATGTTTTCTCATCTTGTAGTCGAGAGTCATGGAATATTTCCTGATTCTGAAAACAGTGTTGGTGAAAACTCATTGAGCAGCTTTCACCCTAACCAAGTCCCATCAGACTCAGTAACCCTTGAACCAGTGCCTCTGTACAGCTGGATGGCAATGGCCACAACACCCTGCAGTACCACCTGTGGAACAGGTACGTCAGTTTAAAATTTTTACATTACTTATTTAAAAAAATCCATATATGTTTGCAGCAGAATTGAGCAATTCATCAAAAATGATTTCATGCGAATTTAGTAAATGAAGCCAGTTCTATTAAATATGCAACACATACTTTCAGGTGGAGCAGGGGTTACAACAGAGGTGTAGTTCACTATAACAAGCTATGCAAAATCACGTTTCATCAATTTAATCGGACGATAAAGACATCAAAAATATTGTTTTGAGATAATGACAGGTGTTTGTTTAGCTTTTTTAAAAACTACGGTTGGTTAAAGTAAATGCTGCACATGGAAATACCACATAAAATAATGTTTTAACTACAAACTAAATTTTAAACTTCAGTAGAGTGTTTGAAAAAAATGCTTCTGTGAGATGATTCTGCAGACATGTAATTATTAATCACGGCACGCTGAATCAATGAAAGAGTTTCAATCTTGTAATTATAATTCAATGCTCTAACCCTTGCGACTTAATTTTACACATGCCCACTTTGCAATGGGTTCTTTCTGTTTAATTTGTTCTGGGTACATTAACAATTGAACTACCAACATTCAGAAACTAGTATAGCAGGACCTTTCTCACATAGGCAAGGCAAGGCAAGTTTATTTATATACACAATGAGTATATAAAGTGCTTTACATAAACAGGAATAAAAAAAACAAGTACAAGAAAATAACAACAAAGAATAAAAATGATTAAAACAGATTAAAATGTGTTAAAACAAGTTTAAAAGGAATGAAAAAGAAAGTAAAGACCTAAAAGTCAGACGTAGCATAGTGCTCATTCAGTAAAGACACAGTTAAACAGATGGGTTTAAAGTCTAGATTTGAATATCCCTATAATTTTGGAGCACATCTGATCATTTCTGGAAGCTGATTCCAGCAGTGGGGGCGTAGCTGAAAGCCGATTTACCCTGCTTTGACTAAACTCTTGGAATTTCTAATTTACTTGATCCTAAAGATCTGAGTGATCTGTTAGGTTTGTATTAAGTGAGCATATCTGTAATGTATTTGGTCCTAGGCCATTTAGTGATTTATAGACAAGTAATAATATTTTTAAATCTATTCTGAATGTATCTGGGAGCCAGTGTAGTGTGTGATGTGCTCTGATTTTCTGGTTCTGCTCAGAATCCTGGCAGCAGTGTTCTGCATACGCAGCAACTGTCTGACTGTCTTTTTGGGATGACCAGTGAGGAGTCCATTACAGTAATCCACCCTGCTGGTGATAAAAGCCTGAACAAGTTGCTCTAAATCCTCACTGGAAACAAAGCATCTAATTCTTGCAATGTTTTTAAGATGATAGTATGCTGATTTAGTAACTGCTTTGACATGATTACTGAAACTCATATCTGACTCCAGAATCACACCAAGATACTTGACCTTATTTTTTATTATTTGACCCCTAGAGCCCAGGTCGGCATTCGCCTTGATAGCCTCATCTCCAATTCCAAATACAATGACTTTTTTCTTTGTTTAACTGAAGAAAGTTTTGGCACATCCAACTGTTAATTTCATCAATGTATTGGTAGAGGGTGTCAATAAGGGCTGAAGTCATTAGGCAGTAAGGCTAAGTAGATCTGAGACTCATCAGCATAGCTGTGGTAAAAAATTTGGTTCTTTCTCATTATTTGGCTCAGTAGGTGCATATGAGATGTTGTTTTGTCACTTTATATTTACATTCAAAGCTTCTATTAAGATATTATAATTGATCTTTGAATGCCTGCCGGCTCGTCATATTTTATGTATTACCCTAAAAATACAATTTTTGTTATACGGACTATACATTGCACAATTTAGTAGGAGTGCACACATTTTCCGGCAAGTAGGAGAGCAAGGCTTTTTTCACCACACTGATTATGTTGCTTCTGAAACACATTTCTGATGAAAAGTTTTGTTTTTGCTATCAGAAAGTTAAAAGTTTTTATTAGCAGGGTGTTGCTTGGAAACAGACAGAAGCATACATATCCAAAGGTAAGGGAATAAGCAGCGGACACTGAAATGCATGTGGCTAATGTGGTAAATTTCTTATGGTAATTGAAGTTAGAAATACTCAGAACTCTTTTGTGTTTTGTAATTTTAATAAAATAACAATGCTAGAAAGAAATATACACATTTAGTAAAAGTCAGGGTATTACACAGTTTTTAAATTACAATGTCTAAAAATGGTCAAAATGACTGACTCTTCAGTTCTAGTGTTAAGTCGTCTCTTAAAATCTTCCTAGAATGTGTCTCCGACAAATATAGAAAATATTACGTTTTCAGTGTTTTTGGCTGAGAAAGATATAAACACAATGTCACGTCTGATGAATGGTGTTCTGAATTTTAATAAAGTCACACAGACACAAAACATTTACACATTCCAGGCCAATGCTGGGTTTTCATAATGTCTTCACTGTTTCGAATCTAAATCAAATCCAGAGTAAGCATACTTCCGTGCCTGGAAATAAAAGCAAACCAGATTGGTGTTCTCTCAGCAGCAGGCGATGTGATTGTAATGACAGTGTTATGACGTGCTGTCTGTCTCTGTTTGTCTGTTTGTTAGGCAATCGTCAGGTTCTGTTTGGCTGTGTGGAAAGGGCCACTCAAACCACTGTACTAGAGGATCTGTGCAGCTCCATCACTCATCCTGGACCTCAGGTTGAAGAGTGTCAGTCACAGCCTTGTCCTGCTTTGTGAGTAAAAAAATAAAAATAAAATAATAATAATAATAATAATTATCAGAAATGAAAAAACCTTAAAGAAAAATGGTGGTTATGGACTGGTTATACTTACAAGACTCTTTCAAAAATATGGTAAAAAATGGTAGTGAATTCCAAAGAGTTAATGTACATGAAGCTTTGTCTAGCTTTGAATGAACAACGAAACAAAATTATTTATATCAAAAATAAAAACACCTGAAAAAAATTGAAATTTAGCTCATGAAGGACTGGTTATACTTCTGAGGCTTTTACAAAATTATGGTAAAAAATAGTAGTGAACATGAACGAACATGAATAAAATAAAAAATTGTTATGAATGAAAATTAATAGTTTTTTTAATTCTGTTAACTTGTACCCAACTTCACTATTTTCACTGAAATGCTAAATTTTTACTTACAACAAAATAATTTTAGGGAGCATAGTGTAGTATAATCAGAAGAATAATGTATGGCTCGTTGAATTTAATTCAATATTTAGCATTAACTTAGCATTAATAAGTGTTGACAATACGTAATCATGAATTGACAGAACTAAGGGCTTAAATACAAAGTAAACAATAATCAATGAAAGAAGGAAAAGATGCAGGGACATGGAACATTGTATTTAGGACATACCCATCTCATTATACAAATTTGTGTCTTTGTAAACTACCAAAACCACTGCAAACATGCACACAAATGCTTACAAAATGTTTTTTTTTTTTTTTTTTTTTTTTACTCATGGCTTATGGAAGAAAGCTCTAAACAAAACACAACATGTTTTCACAAATCTTATTATATAGGCACATTTTCGTGTGACATTAATGTATTAAAAAGTTCCTGCTTTGTTTTCTTTTAAATTTTATTATTTGTGCAAAAAAACAAAAAAAACAATATTGTGACAATTATTTTCAATCGCATCTGCAAATATATACAATGCAAAATGTGCATATTATCTGATGGCCAGAAAGTGATTGATTAAATATTTTTCATTGTTAAAATATTGGTGTCTGTGACTCGAAAGACTGATATGTACATCATGATTTTATATTAAATTTACTTTAATGTGAGAAATAACTGAAAAATGGCCATAAATTAATATCTCTCAATTCAAATGAGTAGCGGCTTGAAGCCGGAAACAGTATTCTTTACGTCATTGATACGTCACAGCTTAACAAGCAGGTAGGCCAGCTTCAGTTATGGCCATGTTAATTAAGTTTTCGTAGTAGTAGTAATAAATCAAATTTGTTTGAATTAGATTTAAATATCTATTATATTACTTTTTGTTATTGTTACATAAACACAGTTCTAAAATCGAAATGTTTCTAGTTTTAATATGTTTGAAATTAAAATAAGTGTGCAGATCTTTTTTGTGCTTTTTGGTGGAATGTTTCTGATTTTGCACCTATTTAGCACCTTTTGTGCGTACTTTAAACTTTTGTCATACTAAAAAGTACTTGCTAGTGTAACAATAGTAAAACGTTTTCCTTTCGGGTTTAGAAATTCACAGTTTTTAGTGAATTGTTTCTATTTTTGTTTTGAACAATTTATATAATATTTTGCAGTCTACTGTACTGATGGCTTCCTAACAAGATTCCACCTCAAAACCTTATTTGGTAGGATAAATGTGAACATGTTAAACATGCTTGAGTGCTAGCAATATATAAAAATATCAAATAGGCTAAACACATATAAAACAGCATTATAACTGAACTAAAACATAAGTTTAAAACTTAAGTAGAACTTCAACTAACAGCAGAACAGAAGTGTAGACTAAAAAAGCAAGCAGTAGTGCATGCCTTTATATCTTAAAACATCCAAAAACTGTCAAAATGGGCTGAGTAGACTTTTGGAAACTTCTTGATTTCTAAATGGGAAGCACATGTGAATGAAACAGTCACTGTGTGTGTGTGTGTGTGTGTGTGTGTGTGTTTGTTGTGTGTGTGTATTTGTGTGTAGTTGGGATGTTGGTGAATGGTCTGAGTGCAGTAAGACTTGTGGTCCAGGTTTCCAGTATCGTCAGGTGATTTGCCGGCAGACACAGGGACAGCATGGCAGTAGTACAGTGGTGGTGGCGAACAGCATGTGTGATGACACAGAGATGCCAGATACCACCAGCGTCTGCCAGCTCAAGATCTGCAGTGAGTGGCAGATCCGCTCCGAGTGGACTGAGGTTTGTCAGTGGGTGTTTGAGTGTGTAGGAGACAGATGTGCCAGTTAAGCTTATGACATCTTTTATTATTATATTAGAAATATTGGTTTGGTAAAAGTTGTCAAGTGGCTCAATTTGCATCATAACCACCTACTTAGGAAACATCTCATTAAAGGGATAGTTCACCCCAAAAAATTAAAGGGCACCTATGATGAAAATCGTCTTTTGTAAGCTGTTTAGACAGAACCGTGAGTAGGTATAGTGTGTCCACTGTCATATTGAGGTGACATAAAGACGATAAGCTTTTTTTTTTTTTTTTTTTAAACCTTATGGCATTGAAAATAGGATCCAAATCCGTCATATTTTGAGGCCGACCGGAAAGTGATGTAGGAGTGCGGTTTCCCAACCCACTGAAATGATTGACAGCCACGTATTAACATGTCTCCGTAGTAACGTGTATAATCATATCAACAAGACAGGACATGCACAAAACAACTGGGATTAAAAGATCTGTTCAGCTCTCTGTGATCATCAATCATCATCAAGTGTGATCAAGAATGAGTTTAACAAGTTTAAAACGTTAAAGCAGCATGTTTGTAATGAATTACAGCGATTTTATTATCTTTATCACCAAAGCTGCATGTCAGTACAATTATAAAAGAAGATGATTCAAACCCAGTTTGTGGACGTTAAATCAGGTTTATTTTGTACATGAACATAACGGATGTCCATACAGCAGTGGATATTAATGAGTATCCTGTCACACTTGCTTATGCACAAAAACAGTGCAAAGTTAAAATCACGTCCCCACTGCATTTGTGTGTGTATCTGTGTGTGTGTGTGTGTGAACTTTTTAACGACATTGTGTGTGACTCATCGCAAAAAGGCTTTAATTATTTTTACGATACATCAAATACATCAACGATACATTACGATACATCAAATAATAATTGTGAAAGTTTTTACTGTAATGTTTCTCACAAATGTTACGTGAGATCTGCTTACTTCATGTCTGTCTCTAAGCTGTTTATCTGATGCAGCCAAGGCTATATATATATATATATATATATATATATATATATATATATATATATATATATATATATATATATATATATATATATATATTAGGGGTGTCAAAATTAATTGTTTCTTTGGTGCACCGCGATGCAGATGCGGACAATTCGGTATCGGTTCAGTAATAATCATAACCGGTTATTATGTACTGACGTCATTTATCTCCTATGCGCTCTGTCGCGAGGGAGGTGAGCGCGAGTATTTACAACACTCAGCCAACTCAGGGCCGGTCCGTGGCATAGGCACCATAGGCAAATGCTAAGGGCGCTGTATATCCAGGGGGGCGCCAGAAATGAGCGCGGTTAAGTTGGTTTTGTTTTCAATATTCTTGACACACATTCAGTTACAGACGGCAATAACTCAAAAACCTCTTACCCTAAAAAGATCTAAATTGTGTTTCCTACAAAAAGACAAAGCTGGTTATGTTTCACAGCAGTCTTTCTTTTTTTTCGCTCCACACTACGAGCACTGCTCCGTTTAAGCCCTCACAATATGTGTTTAGCCGGGATAGCTCGCACTGAGAGGAGCTCTCAGCAAGGGACCGTCGGAAAAGTGCTTCTTTTTTTAGTTTTTCTGCTCTGCTCTTCGCGAGCTCTCCCTGTTGCGAGGGCCTAAGTGTGTGTGTGCGTGTGTGTTTGTTTCTTTGGTGCTGTCTATGTTTGTGTTTGAATGAGAGACAGTGTGGTGCTGTGTGTCTGTGTGTTTATACAGAAAGCTTGTTATAGCCTCCCCTCTAAAATATAACACTGTATATGGAAAGCATCGTCAATGCACCGTGATGCACCGAAATATCGAATTGAACCGAATCGAAGGCATGATAATCGTAACCGAACCGAACCGAACCGTGAGACCATTATAGGTTCACACCTCTAATATATATATATATATATATATATATATATATATATATATATATATATATATATATATATATATACATATACATATACATATACATACACATACATACATGTATGAGCAATATCACACGAGTGGCAGTGTGCCATGGCTGTAGATCAACATATGTTCCTGGCTGTATTTGGGTGGAGTAATACACAAAGGGTAAAGAGGCTGTACAAATGCTGATATTACTTAAATATACGGCTATCAGCCAATCAGATTCGAGATCCAGACAGAACTGGATGAAATAAGATATTTTATATGAAATAAGATATTTGGTGAATTGAATATAAAATGAAATTTAAAATGGAAAGTAAAAAATAAAAGCTAATTAAAACGAATGATTTATTCTAGTTAATAAATAATACTAAACAATGTCTCCTTTTGATAAAATTTACTCTTTTTTTTAAACAAGATATGAATATTGGGAAAAGCAACTAATGTCAAAATAATTAACATAACATAATTCTTTATACATTTAAAAATGTATTTACTCGGGTTACATTTGAAAGGTTTAGGGTCAATATGAGTTTATTTATTTCTTTTTAAAGACTGAATTGATCTCTTCCAAATAAATGTTTTTTGTTTATGAATTAATTGTTTTATCAACTGTGAAAAACAAAAGCTTTTCACATTTATTCATCCCTCATCGGCTGTTAGAGATGTTTTCATCCACTCTGAGGTGATTTTGAGTCTTAATTTGAAAACATATTTTGGCAACATCTTTTGAAAATTTTCAAAAACTCAATAATGTACTCTTTTACTACCATTTTCGTTATGTTGGTGGCTGTTTTTGCTCCATTGACTTTCATAAAATGACAAATTTTGACAACAGGAAGAACCACCAACAATCAAGAATGAATAATCATATGGTGTCATGTCTTTGCAATAAAAATGACGTTATAATGGAAGTCGGTGAGGCAAAAAAAAAAAAAAAAAAAGCCACCAATCAAAACAAAAAGATTTAAACAATATAGTACACATAAGGGTTAAAAAATCTGATCAAAATAATTTGGGAAGACAGTAAAAACCTGAGAACAAATATATTAAACAGCCTAAATGATTCAAGCATTGGCATTAATAAGATTTTTTTCCTGCATTTCAGAATATTACAAATATAGGTGTAATTATGATCAAATAATTGCAGCTGAGCATATAAAATAAACACTGTCTAAATCATTTTTAAAATTGTACAACTTCAAACTCTTGAACAGAGTTGTATATGTGCAAAAGAAGAAGAAAAAAGATGATATAAAAATTATATACATTTTGATAGGCTTTATAGATATACACAATAATATGCCTCCATATATAATCACCAGATGATGCACACAAGATATCAGTAGCCATTAGACGTTCTCTCTCACTTTGTCTTTCTCTCTCTCTGTGTGTGGCAGTGCTCTGTGCCGTGTGGTGTCGGTCAGCGCAGTAGAGAAGTGGTGTGTGTGGATAACCTGGGTGATATTGTTTCTGACGAGGAATGCAACATGGCCCTTCGCCCGCAGGATCTGCAGAACTGTGACAAAGGAGTGTGTGCCAGCAGCTGGTTCTACTCTCTCTGGAGTGAAAGGGTGACAAATCTTGACCTTTTTCTTTTGTGTTTCTCAGTAATGTGGGTTTCTTCTTGAACAGCTGTATGTGTCTGTCCAGTGTTCTGCAGACTGTGCTGAAGGCAGTCGCAGCCGGTCGGTGGTGTGTTTGATGAGCCAAAGTAACTCTCTGCCGCTGGACGACTGTGATGATGAAGACAAACCTGATGAGCTCATGCAGTGTGACCTGGGACCCTGCGCACAGAGACTGGAGTGGTACACAGGGCCTTGGGGACAGGTGCGAGACACACATATACACACATGTTGGTTTTAGTGGTTCATAAGGACTCTCCATGGGTATAATATATTATATTATATGTAATGTAATGTAATGTGTATTTATATAGCGCATTTATCGTGAATGGCCACACTCCCAAAACCCTTCACAATCATGAGGGGGGTCTCACCACACCACCACTAGTGTGCAGCATCCACTTGGATGATGCAATGGCAGCCACAGAACAACGACGACAGTGCGCTCACCACATACCAGAAATTGGTGGAGTGGAGAGACAGTGATAAAGCCAATTCAGTGGATGGGGATGATTGGGAGGCCATGATCGTAAGGGCCAATAGAGGGACTTTGACTAGGACACTGGGGTTACACCCCTACTCTTTATGAGAAGTGCTATGGGATTTTTAATGACCACAGAGAGTCAGGACCTTGGTTTAATGTCTCATCCGAAAGATGGTGCCCACTGACAGTATAGTGTCCCCTTCACGTTTTACTGGGGCATTAGGACTAGGCATGGGCTGGTATAAAATTCTGACGGTATGATAACCTTGGATAAAAATATCAGGGTATCACTGTATTGTGATTACTGTTATAAAATATATTCTTTTTAAATGTCTGGGTAAAAAGAAATACTTTTTTCCCTTTTGAACACAATATATTTTATTTTAAGAAACATTTAAAATATTTTGGAGCAGTAAACATGTCAGGCTAAATGATTTATTTACTTCTGTTGTCTTCATTTGTTTCAAAAACAGATTTTTTTTACAATTTAAAATGGGATCTTTGGAGCTCTTTTCTGCTGGAGATTCTGTTTTCCTAAAAAAACAAATGTAAATAAAAAAGCGAATACATACCTTAGGAATGATATTGCAAAAAATGTTGATGGTGTTGAAACCTTGACTTTTCCAAATCCCGGTACACCATGAAAACGGTTATTGTGCCATGCCTAATTAGGACTCACGCAGACCAGAGGTTGAGCACTCACTGCTGGCCTCTCTTTACACCACTTCCAACAGCAAGCTAAAACCTGACAGGTGGGCAAATCTAAGCTTGTTTTTAATAAAACAAATATAAATATGCATATATCAAATAATACTGCTAATAATAATAATAACATTGTACAAAAGCGAATTGTCATGAAAAAAACTAAAAAAGCCCCCTGAGATAAAGAAGGCATGAAGGTGGTGGTTTTTAAGTTTATGTAGACTAGAAAATAATATTTTTTGTAATATTTTAATCTTTTAATTCATTTTCATTTGTAAAGATATTTGCGTATAGCTGTACATCCTGTGTGTATTAAGCAATGTTTAAGCGAGGCGCACAAAACATCAAAACGACTCTTGCGCCGACTCCGCCAAGCTGAAATAGCAAACAACAATTGCGTCGCACCTTGCGCCGCATTGCTCCGGGTGTATGATAGGGCCCTATGTGTCTAAGAGCATATTCACACTATGTAAAGTTGTCTTGAACAGGCCAAAGTACGCTTGTCCCTCCTCCCATCTCTCCCGAGCGCTCTCTCTCAGCACAGTGGAGATTTCTTAGGTATATCGCTTTAGTGGCTTGATATGCAGTGACACGCAGTCAAATACTTCGCCGAACAGATCAGCCACTTTTTGATGCACATAAACAATCATAAAGTTTTCATGCTGCAGGAATTAGGAGGTTTGCTGAAGGTGCAGCTGTCGTGCAGTGAGGGGTTTGCGTCTAATAAACTAAGACAGTTTGCGTTCATTAAACAGTAAGAATGATTAATTAAACCATATGAAACAGTCCCTTAAAAGTCACGCCTAGCTTTCAGTTTTGGGCTTAGGCACGTTTTGCACTCGCACACAAGCGTACCATGCCACAGCCCAAGTGAACCGCACTCAAGCACACCTCTTTTACTTAATGACAGATTTTGTAATATTTGTGTTTTATGTTTGTACCGTAGTTAACTTTCATCAAGTTCTTTGAGAATACACCAGAGGAACACACAACTTTTGCTAATCTGCGTGTCTGAATGTGTGTGACAGTGCTCATCTGAATGTGGCAATGGTACCCAGAGTCGTGGTGTGGTCTGTGTTGTCCAAAACAGTGGTCATTTAGAAGTGACCTCAGATGACCTCTGCTCTCATCTGCCTCGTCCTCCAACTGCACAGAGCTGCTATTTGAAGAGCTGTGCGGCGCAGTGGTTCATGACTGAGTGGAGCTCGGTATGTTCCTCACACACACACACACACACACACACACACGCACACACACTACAGTAAAACTTTTACAAGTTATTTTAATCAACTAATTGAACAGATTCAATGTTTCGCCTCAGTGTTCCCGCTCTTGTGAAGGAGGCTTTCGAGTGAGGGAGGTACGGTGTTTACGAGATGACCTGACATCCAGTCATGACTGTGATCCTGCCCTTGAACCTGCAAAACAGGAGAAGTGTAACACACACATCTGCACACTACAGATCGGTATGTTTTTCTTCAAATTTTGTTAAGCAAACAAACAAACAAACAAACAAACCCAAAATGATAATTCTGTCAACCACTAAGACCTATGCCACTATGCATAAGGATTAAGTACTGATGGAAATTCCCTAATTTGATCTGATTCACTAGTTTATTATTATTATAAAAAATAAAAAAAAACTTGTTATTGAAATGTATATCGTAGAAGTAATTATAGAAAGAAGTTGTATTCTTGCTAATGCTGTAAATGATTATGGTTAGGGTTTTGGAAATAGTTTCAACCAGTAATGATCCTTTTTGATCTTTGTTTAAAAAAAACAAACAACATCACAAATGTTTCTTTTACACTGTAAAACCCAACAGTCACCTTTATCAAGTTAAATGAGTGTAGTTAACTCAAAATTTACTGAAAGGTAATTCTACTCATTTAAAAAGAGTAATGAGTTAATTAACTAATTTGAGTTAATTAAATACCTCATAACTTCAACTAAATGGATTGAATTGGTTTCCTCAAACGGTTTGAGTTGCCTTAACTTTACCAGTTGATTTGAGTTCTCTTCATTTATTGGGGTTTACTGTGCTCAAATTGCTTTGTTTAATCAAATGGATTAAGTTCACAGTACTCATTAGGATTCGTTTTTGAACTTAAATGGTTTGTTGCAATTGGTTTCCTCAAATGGTTTGAGTTACCTTAACTTTTTGGGTTTTACAATGTATCTTTTTTTTCTTATTCCACTTTCAAATCTATATCTTTTGTCTTCTATGGACCAATAAATAGTATCTTAGAGGGTTACCTTACCAAAAATGAACAATTCTCGCACTTGTGTTGTTCTAAGCCTTTGGGACCTTTAAGAAAATTTTTTGATATCTTAGGTGAACTCTGAGAGCTCTCACATCCATCAAAGACATTAAGGTTATAATATTATCAAGAATACTGTTGTGCGCACATAAAACAAAAAGACGACTTGTCTTTTGTGTCAGTATATATTCTGCTCATTCAGTGCTCGGCCGCCTGCTGATGTATTACCTCGAATGTAATTTGTTTCAAACAGAGGAAACAAAGCGCAGGAGCAACTGAGGTAATAATTTTCATTTTTGGGTGAAATAACACTTTAAAAAGCATAGGAGTGCTCCGTTTTGATGAATCAATGTTAATAATACACATACACACGTGTGTGTATATACAGTAGTATGTTTGTGTCAATGAATGTATGTATTTGTATATACATACAGTGTGTCTTTGTGTGTATTACTGCTTATACTATACTGTATATCTCGAAAATGCACTACTTTTAGAAAAAAAGCCTTTCATTTTCCATGAAATCTACTGTACCTGCATTTAAGTGAGTATAAAACATGAACACTTGAAGATAGAAGAAAATGGAGGGTTTGATCTTTATTCTGATATGATATGGTATTATATTCCTAGACTAAAATATTGGGCTGTCAAAATGATGAGGGCTGTCATTATCAAAAATTCTGGCAGTGGCTGGTAACGTTTTTAACAGACTGAGTTAAACACAACTTCAGACCAAAACTCTGGTAGTTAGATAAAAGTGTAATGAGAGCCGAGATGAATGTGATAACTTGCTGTTAAAATAAACGCCACATCAATTATTTCTTGCCACTTTTCTATTAATATCACATTGCTGGTTGAATTGTCATTCATTACTAACAGTCTCAAGATTGCACAAAAGTTGCACATAAAGACCATGTCAAGGTCAATGTTGTTTTTCACCAAGCCCCATCATAACAGAAATTCATAAAGGTTTAGAACCACTTCAGAAATGGTGAGGAAATGTTTATTTTTGTGTCAAAATCACTTTAAATCGCTATTTTCCAATAAAACAAATTGAAGTGAACTGTCAAAAAAGCTAAAATAAAGTTAAAAACAATATATGTAATTAAAGAAATGAAAAACAGACTATCACTTTAAATAGCTATTTTCAAATAAAATAAATGGAAGTAAATAGAGTAAAAAAAAAAGCAAAGATAAAGCGAAATACAATTTACGTAATTAATGAAATAAAACTCAGTCTTGCAAACAATATAAAGTCATTATATCAATACTCTCATTTATTGGCGAACTGTACCTTTACAATGCCTCTCTCTCTCGTTCTCTCTCTAGACGAGTCCTGCAGAGACATGTACTATAACTGTGTGGTGGTGGTCCAGGCCCGTTTGTGTGTTTACTCATACTATCGCACCACATGCTGCGCGTCCTGTTCTCGGGTCATTCAGAGAGACTCGCTGCATACAATCAGGTGATCTGCCTGCTTTTCAGGACGTGGCATCATTTTCAGCTGGATCTGACCCTGAGAGGACATCACTGCTCATCTCCTCTCTGCCGTATTCTTCAAGACAAGTATACATTCAAGACGTATACATTCACTGCCCCTCTTTTTACAGCTGCAAATTAAGAATGCTCCATGAGCAACTGAATATTTATTGCAAATAAAACCAACTGAGCCTATCATCTGTTGTGTTCAGTAATGTCTAAAGATGAAAATGAATCTAATTCATCATAATATTTCATTATTTACAGTATATTAGTCAGGTTAACTCGAATGACTGTTTATGAATTATGTGCATAAATCTTTAGCAAACGAAAACCTTTAGTATTCTGCCATTGTAGAGGGATCATCGTGTTTTTGATGAATTTCCAGACGCTCCTGTTTAAATGCACAGATGAAATTTTGTTCATGAAAGATGGAAATAGAGCATAAAAGAAACTCAAACAATGACAAATGTTGGGGAACAAACTAATGGAAACCATTGACTAAATTACAGGCTCATTAAAAATATGTCCTTCAGCCTAATGTACATTTCTAAATAATATAAACGCTAGGGGGCAGCATAACATCAACACCTTTAGTTCCTTTTCACATTTATGATATTAACAGGGACATATCAACAACATAAAGGCCCGGATTGGCTAATCGGGAGGACCGGGAGAATTCCCAGTGGGCCGGTCCGTTTTTTGGCTGCGAGGGCCGGTGTACCTAGCTCCAGAATCTGTTGCTCTCAGCAGCCACACTTTTTAAATTTATTTATTTACTTGACCACAGCCTTTTTATTCATTATTTTATCTTCTCTTTTGATCTATTTTAATGATGATAAAACTCAGTTGTGTCACTATTTATAAAACAGTTGTTGTGGTCGAGTGGTTAGCACGTTAGGTTAAGACACCGTGGACCCGGGTTAGATCCTCGTTAGAGTAAATTAGTATTTTCATTTTTATTGATAAGACATATAATACTGTTAGGGTTGTTGAACATTTGAAGTTCTAAAGCAGCTGTTTTCTCAAAAAAAAGACGTGATAGTGTCATTAGAAACTGATTTGGAAATATTTATTTATTTACTTATTTTAATATAGTCAGTCGTGAACTGAGGTGGGCCGGTCTGAGGCTTGAAGCTCCAGGGCTGAAAAGGAGTCCCACTCCGGCCCTGACAACATATAATAGAGTATTTTCATGCAGTTCTTTGCACAACACAAAATAAATGCCACAAAACAAGTTGACAGACACAGACAGACACTGTCTGTATTTTGAAATCAAATGTTCTTACCTCATCTGTCTAACTTTTTAGGCATGGTCAGTTTGCTTGGTGGCTCAGTTTGTATGGTGTTGTACTTATAATGTAGAGTGCTGGGGTTCAAATACAAATGCACTGAAAAAAGTGTTGCATGCGGAACTGTTGCAAACAACTTATTTGTGTTGAATTTAAACAAACAAATTAAATTGAATAATGTTTAACTTAATTTGTTTGTTTAAATTCAACACAAATAAATTGTTTTCAACCACTTAACGTAAAAAAATTTAGTAAATCCAAAAAATCATCTTTGAATATTTATTTTCAGTGCAGTTCCACAGAAGAGATAAAAGCAATGTAAAATCAAATAAATCTATATAGTCACAGTGCACTTTTCTTTTAAATTTGCTTTTGAAAACACTATTAGTAGGGTTCAGGGAAGGGTTTAGGTAAGTGGTTCGTGAGGTGATCTGTATGACAAGCAATGTGTTTTTGTGGACATGTACAAGAAGGACGTGTACTTTAAACACAACAAAAATTGTACCATAAGTAACTTATTTCAGATTCGCAAAAAATGAAGACAGCGCCCTCTAGTGTATTGGCCATCTGAACTGTGTCTTTGCAGAGAAACATTTTACATTTAATAAAAATGTTGGCTGAAGCATATTTCCAATGAGTCTGGAATGGCTTAGGAACAAGCGGAGGGTGAGTAAACAATGACAGAAATTTTGATGTGGATGCTGAAGTATAAGGAGTGCTATCCTGCTGAAGAATTTGGTTTGTAATGTAATGGGCAGCACAAATGTCTTGATGCCTCAGGCTGTTGATGTTGCCATCGACTGCAGCTCTCTCGCATGCCCCCCAAACTGAATGATGATTGGGATGCAGTTCAACAGATGATTCTGGGATTGACGACAAGACTTTTGTCAGGTAGTATACTGGGATCTTCACATTCAGTCATACTTTACCAAGGGTTTACAGTGAAAGATCAGAAAAAGATTAAATATCCAGTGAGTTGTAGTTCGGTGGGCAAAAAGAACTTGTTAAGGTCAGAGCACATATTCACTGTTCACCAAAACTGGACACACTCAAATCTCTCCAAACATCAAGTTCACTAAACTCAAATGACCTCCAAAGTCACCAGTTTTCAAATATAAAGCAACTGCCTGATTCTGCCAATATCATCATGCCATTACCTTTTTTCCCAGCACATTGTGCAAGTGGCTATTGTGTGTAAATCTGAGAGTAACAAGATTCTTAAAATAAAAAATAAACTGGTGACATGAGATGCTTGACTATAACTTGAGATAAAGGCGTTGAACGCAATGACTTGGATTGGAAGAGTCCAACATAATGTACATGACAAGAGAAAAGTCTGTCGTAAAGGCCTGTGCTTTACTACTTTACCTTTCAGATTTTCATGCATTAAGCTACATTTCTATGTGAAATGAAACCGTGCACATTTTGCACAAAAGATAATGTGATTTGTAAAAAATGACCCCTTTATAGGCTCTTTCAGAATAGCAGCACAAAGTTGCCTGGTGCTTACGCATGCTTCATAAATGGACGTCTCTGTCTTTTTTAGACCTGTGACTACAAATATCACATAAAATATGACGGAGAAGCTGAATTATTAAATCAAAGAAAGATGTGCGTCCTTTCATCGAGACACTCTGGAACTGCAAGGGGTAAACCACTAAACATGGGTCAAAAGAGGAACAAAAGGCTCTGTAAATGTTGAGTAATAACACAGAGTTCATTTTGTTGGAAACAGGATAAACCCATATTTAGGGTATATACAGGAATCAAAGAGTGAAATTCAATACCTTTTAAGACCTTTTTAAACACTCATTTCATACATTTTAAGACCCTAAAAAGAAACCAGGGGTTTTCCAACAGGTGGAAAGAGGAAAAAATAAATAAAATTAAATACCAAAAATAAATATACATCAAAAATAATTAATAATGATTATGAAACAAATCATGCATAAAAAATGATAGATTAATTAACAATAAAATAATAAATATGATTAAATTAAATAACATAATTAAATGTATTATTAAATAATATACTGTATACTAAGTTAAAATAATATTACAGGGGAGAAAAAAACAAAATCATTTGAAGTAAAAAAAAAACTAACAACAAAAAATTAAATAAATAATATAAACAATAGTTAATACTAAACATTTCTTAATCAATAAACATGTAAATATTATTCCTTTGAGTGTATTTTTGTAACTAGTCATAACAAATTGTGAGTCTCAATCACAGAATTGTCAGAAGGATTTGTACTACACTTTCACCCTATTCCATTTTGATTCAGTTAAACAGTTCCAAAGCAGCTTTATAGAAAACAAGAAACCTCCCTGCTTGCTTGAATGGAAAGAAGTAAGACTCAGCTGGTGATATAGCAAAGTGCAGTATTGTGGAGACCTGTAGAGAAACACTTTTGGTGCCCTCTTGTGGAGGCATGAGGACACTACGAATAACTTGATCAATCGCTGAGTGACAATATATTTCACATAAAATGTTTACAAATTATCAAATGTACCACAATTATCATGCATTGTTGTACCACACTGTTAACATTTTTAACCTGTATTAACATTTTGTTAAATGTTAAACAATTCCCATCTCACTTTTAATTTTTCACTTTCTTCAAAAGTCAATCTGAAAACTGCTTCAAATGTGCAATGAACTTCTTGCAGATTATAACTTGGGAAACGTTTTAATGGCAAAATCACTTGCAAGATCTAAATACAAATATTTAATGGAAATAAATTAGCTTTAAACACAAAGGGGTGTTAAGCAGAAATGTAAGCACACATGTATGTTGTATTTGATATATTAATGCACACACATTAACTTTGGATACTGCACTATAGTAAGCTTATGATGAAGTCCCTCATGTTAAACTGTCATCATTCACACTCATTGACTGCCTGGAGCAGAAGCTCATCAGGTACCTCCTCATCTTCGTCCTCCTCCTCTTCTTCTACTTCCTGCAGAGCTCTCAGATAAGCAGGGTCATCGGGCCAGTCTCCCCAACCCTCATTGTCCTCAGACGGGGCAGTCGAGGTGGACTCTGCTGGAGCAGTCACTGCGAGCTCAATGTTCCCTAGCTCGTCTGTTAAATAAGCTTGATCCTCTTCATCCTTCAGATAAACACAGAAGTGCAAGTTAACACAAATGTACTCAGTTAAATGTACTGTTGTGGTCTCCAGATGAGCTGAATCTTCACTGACCTCCATCAGTAAGTGGCTCATGCAGACTTCCTGAGGCAGAGGAAAGCCTGAAGACAAATATATCAATTTTGTATTACTTATTCCCCACAAACTTTCCATAAAAACAGTGGTGCAATTCTGAGTGTGCTCCACAGAGGAGAGCAGGCTCTGCAAACCACATATTGAACATACTCTCCTCTTCATATGCTCAAAGGTAAAAATACATAAAAAAAATAATAATAATTATATATATATATATATATATATATATATATATATATATATATATATATATATATATATATATATATATATAATAGTATTTATATACAGCAATTTGCTGCAGATATAAAGTGTTTTTTATCCTCACTTGTAAGTCACTTTGTATAATAGTGTCTGCTGAGTAAATGTAAATAACTAACTACACCTTTAGTGATAATTCACCCTAAAAACGAAAATTTACAACACTGTAAAACTCAACATTCAACTTTATCAAATGAAAAAAGTGTAGTTATCTCACAATTTAATGTTAAGTTAGTTCTACTCATTTAAAAAGAGTTTTGAATTCAGCGTTAAAGGTAATGAGCTACTTAAATACCTCATTACTCCAACTTAAATGGATTAAGCTCACAGTACTCATATAGAGTTTTTCAACTCAAATGGTTTGTAGCAATCGGTTTCCTCAAATGATTTGAGTTACCTTAACTTTTTGGGTTT